TTTTTTGATTTATTGTAGAGATGAGGTCTCTCTGCCCAGGTGGGTCTCGAACCTGCGGGCTCAGTCAATCCACTCACCTCAGCCTCCCAAAGGCGCGGGATTACAGGCTGAGCCACCGAACCCGGCAGATATATAATTTTTTATAAATAAATTCCAGTTTCTTTTGAGTCTCCTCTCATATACTTGCCTGTGGTAAGACCCAGCCTGAAGATTTCTAATAAAGTCATGTGGAAAGTCAGATGCATCTGTCAATAGAAAGAACCTGTGTGTGTGTATCTGGCTTCTATCATAGACTTGCAGTGGTCATGTTTCCTTAACCAAAAATCATATTACAGAGTCTGTCCTAGAATTTAGGGCCACTTCAGAGGCTGAAAGGTCATTGAAAAGAAGATGTTGTTATGTGAGAGTGTAAGATTCTGAGGTATTCCAATCATCTGTGGGGACAACAGAATAGAATTCTTTCTCCTTACACATTTTCTTTTCTTTTCTTTTCTTTTTTTTTGAGCCTCAGCCTTCCAAGTAGCCAGAACTATAGGCACGTGCTACCACACTTGGCTAATTTTTCTATTTATTTTAGAGATGATGTCTCGCCAAGTTGTCCAGGCTGGTTTCGAACCCATGGGCTCAGGCTATCCTCTCACCTCGGCCTCCCAGAGTGCTGGGATTACAGGCTTGAGCCACTGCGCCAGGCCACACATTTTTTTTTTTTGAGTTGGAGTCTCACTCAGTCGCCCAGACTGGAGTGCAGTGGCCGCTCCGGCCACTGCAGCCTCGACCTGCTGGGCTCCGGCGATCCTTCCGCCTCAGCCTTCCGAGCAGCTGGAATTACAGGTATACGCTATCACGCCTGGCTGATTTCTTTTAGATTTATTGTAGAGATGAGGTCTCGCTGCCCAGGTGGGTCTCGAACCCGCCGGCTCAGGCAATCCACTCACCTCAGCCTCCCAAAGGCACAGGATTACAGGCTGAGCCACCGAGCCCGGCTCCGGGCCACACATTTTTAAATGTGCAAGCATATTTCAATTCCTCATACATGTGATGTCACCATAAAAAGAAGTAGGATTAAAGCAAAAGTACAGACTCCTACGACAAGTCTAATTATTTCTATTTAGCCCTGGACTTTCAGGCAGTGGTTCTCAAAGTGTGGTCTCAAAACCAGCAGCATCAGCATCACTGGAAACTTGTTAGAAATGCAGATTGTTGGTGGGGTGGGGGGCGGTGGCTCCGCCTATAATCCCAGCACTTTGGGAGGCCGAGGTGAGAGGATTGCCTGAGCCCACAGGTTCCAGACCAGCCTGGGCAATTTGGCGAGAACTCATCTCTACAATACATCAAAAAATTAGCTAGGCGTGGTAGCGCGTGCCTGTAGTTCCAGCTACTTGGAAGGCTGAGGTGGCAGGATCACCGGAACCCAGCAGGTCGACGCTGGGGTGGCTGTGAGTGTGCCACTGCCCTCCAG